CTGTGCCACACGATCCCTCTCTCACTCGGGCATCGCCGGCCGGGGATGCGGCAGGGAGGGCAGCCGGGCTAGAGCTCTCCTCCTCGGCTTGGCTCCCTCGCCTTCCCCTTCGCCTTCGCCTTCTCCTTCTTCGCCTTCGCCGCCGCCGCCCGGAAAGGAACGCCGAGGATCGCGGAGCGGCGGCGGCGATGAGAAGGAGGCGGAGGACGGAGCGGCTTCGCCTTGTCTGCCGCCGACCTCTCGGCTTGGGCTTTAAGGCTGGCACCGAGGAGGAGGAAGAAGAGGAGGAGGTCTAGAGCCGGCCAAGCTCCACCCAAGAAGGGAGCTTCACAAATTGCCAACCCCTTTTCGCCGCCTTAAAAATAACACCTCTCTCTCTCTCTGAGTATATATATATATATATATATATATATATATATATATTTCTTGGTTGCCTCTTTTTTTCAACTGAAGGGTCCTTCCCCACACAGACAGACACAGAGCCGCTCCACTATGTCTCCCAAAAAAGCCTTAGCAACCACCACCAGGGTCGGCCGGACTTGCGATCCCTTCGAGAGGCGCTCTTGGTGCCTCCTCTTCTGGTTCCTTGCCCTCCTTGCTTAACTCCTCACCCAGTTTTGGAGGAGGAGGATTGAGGAGGAGGATGAGGACGATGATGATGATTGATGATGATGATGGGTGTGCGTGATAAATGTCTCTTCTGATTTCTTCCTCTCCCTTCTTAATTCTTTTTTTCCAGTAGTGGATGGTGGTGATGGGGGAGATTTCTCTTCTGATTTCTTCCTCTTCCTTTCTCAAGCCTTCGCCCAGTTCCGCAGGATGATGATGATGATGATGATGATGATGATGATAAGGATGATGGAGGAGATTTCCCTTCTGATGTCTTCCTCTCCCTTAACTCTTCACCCAGTTCTATAGAACGATGATAATGAGGATGATGGTACTGGTGGTGGTAGTAACGATGGTGGAGATTTCTCTTCTGACTTCTTGCTCTCCTTTCTCACTTCTCCTCCCAGTTCTGAAGGGTGATGGGGATGATGGTGGTGGTGGTGATTTCTCTTCTGATGTCTTCCTCTCTGGAGGAAGAGGAGGAGGAGGAGGAGGAGGAGGGTAGTGATGGTGAAGATTTCTCTTCTGACTTCTTGCTCTCCTTTCTCAATTCTCCTCCCAGTTCTGTAGGAGGAGGAGAATGAGGATGATGGGGGTGAGG